GCCCAGATGAGGGTCATCAACAGGGTACAGAGGATTGGAGCCCAAGCCAGCATCGGAACCTTCAATACAGTGGCCACAGCGGTCGCTGAAGCAGAAGCAAGCATACAGTCAGCCCAGGAACGATTCGAAAGGAAAGCGATCAAGTTCTGGGTGCGTCTCCAGACTCTGCCTGCGAGTCATCCGCTGCGACGTACCAGACCTCGGAGCTTCAAGAGGCACATCTCACCTTTCCAGAAGATGGCCGCAGCATACCGAGACCTACCAGTGGACAGGCTTGAGACCATCGGAGCGTTTCCACAGCCACCGTGGGAAAGCCGAATCCATACGATAGTGGAAGAAGACGGCGACAGGGCGAGCAAGGCGACCCAGACTGGGTGGGCCGTGAGGGCTGCAACAGGCAGCTCGGCAAGAAACGGAGTCGTGGGCTACGGAACAGCAGTACTGCTCCCTTTATCACACAGGAGAGGCGGCTCCACGACGACAGGATCAACCACCGTCGGCCCTAGGACGGAGCAAAGCCCGTATACGGCGGAGCTCATGGCGATAGCAGCGGTGCTGGAGTCTCTTTCGAAAGTGATCCATCATCGTGCTATCTATGTGTTTTCCACCAACAAAGCGGCCGTCTTAGCAGCAAGGAGACCGCGACAACAATCAGGCCAACAAGAAATCCATCGTATAAACGAGGCAGCCAAGACGCTGACAAGTAAAGGCAATAAGGTTACACTCTTCTGGCTTCCGGCAGAAGTAGAGTCCGACCTCAAGGTGAAGGCGAAAGCAGCGGCGAAAGAGAGTACGCAACAAGGAAGGACGCCGAGGAAGAAGCCAACCAGGGCCTACTCAACCACACTCAGAAACGCATTGAGGAGAGTACAGGAGTACTGCAGGTTACCGGAAGGGGTAGGACAGTTCTCGAAAAGGATTGACGCTGCCCTGCCGGGAAAGCACACACGGCAATTGTACGACTCATTTTCATGGAAGGAGGCCAGCATACTGGCCCAGCTGCGGACGGGTATGGCAAGGCTCAACTGGTACCTGCACCAGATCGGGGCGGCCGCCTCGGATCAATGTGCATGCGGACAAGCAGCAGAGACGGTCGAGCATTTTCTCTTCCGTTGCACCCAATGGACAGCACAACGCGCACCGATGATCCAACGAACTGATACGCACAGAGGTAACCTGTCATTTTACTTAGGCGGGAAGGCCGCATCAGACCCTGACGACTGGTCACCATGCATGGACGTCGTAAGAGAGACAGTGAAGTTTGCCATGGCAACAGGACGACTCGATATGCAAATCAACCAAACATAGGACAACAACAGCACAATATCACAGCACCAACACTAATCACCGACTAACCCCTCACGCACCCTCGTGCCACCGATAGCAGGACTCGCTTCAGCCGCCGAAGACAGGGACCTGAACACTTGGAGGAAGTGCTCCAAGATGGCCTGCTACTTACATCACGAGAAATCGCAATCATCGGAAGAAGTAATCAAAGATGACGCAGACGGAAGTGGATTTCATATATGGGGCTTATTTTGAGACCAGGGTAAAAACTCAACAAGGGGAGCATGTAAGATAGACGTTAGAGCCCTTTATGGCTTAGCCAGGCCGTAATAAACTCTGTGTGTGTGTGTGTAACCGCCTGAGTCTAGAGCGAGATTGTCCCCAGCCACACGACATGGATCTTGCTTGCTGAGTCATGTCCCCTGTTTGCAAGATCCAAACCTAGCGCTTTTAGAAAGCTTTTTCCTACCTTTTGGGTCCGACTTTGGGAGCTTTGGGAGATGATCTCCCCAGCCACGCGACTAGGCTTTTGCCCTGTTATGTAGAAATGGATGCCGAGACCTAGAGATCCAGTTCCAACGTCGCCGCAACGACGAGGCAGGTGCCAGTTCTGGCCTTTGACGGAGGATGTCCTCAGCCACGTCCCCAGCCACGCAACAAGGGTCCTCCTCGTCCCACCGCCTCCCCTGTCTACACGCTCCATATCTGACTCTTGCCAGGAGCTGGTTCCGGCTGGTCTTCCCAGCCACGCAACAAGGAGCGTTCTTTCTCTACTACTTACGGTGACTACAAGATCCATATCTGGCTTCCAGTTGCTATATTGAAAAGTTCGGAACATGCTGAGAGCCTGTTGGACCCCAGGATCCCAAAATGAGTCATCCAAGCTACACAGCGAGCACCTTGCTGTGCAGTGTATGGTCCCCGCAAAGACCCATTTCCGGCTCCTATTAACGTAACTAGTGGAAAGCCATGCCCTGGAAAGCCAGGTGTAGCATAGCACACCTGCGACAATGACGCGGAAGTCATTTCTGGCTTTTGGTCTAGAGTCTTCCCAGCCATGTAACAAGGAGCTTTCTTGCTCTACCACGTGTTCTATCTATACAATACATGTCCAGCTTCTGCAGGAGCAGGTTCTGACCTAGATCCCAGTTGTTGTACAGAGGAATTCGGAATTGGATTCCATGTTCTTACGACATAAATTCTTCCGCGCAGACGTTTGTGTATCCACTCGCTGACAGGATACATAACGAGACCCAGAAAGCACTTTCCTGATGACCTTGCAGAAAAGGCAGAAATTGCTTTTACACTGTGTTCATGGTTCAAACCCATGTGGTGTAATCCAGCGCTCCCGTTTAAGCAATTCAATCAATCAATTTAACCAATCTAGCCAATCAAAATTGAAGCTGCCCTTCCACTAGCCAATTGGAATCGAGGTTAAATTCGATTGATTGCTTTAACGGGAGCGCTGGTGTGATTCAAGATACACAAACGGCAGTGATAAGTGCTATAAGCCGAAACCTGTCGTCCCACTCTAAGAACATGGAATCCAATTTCAAGTTCCTCTGTATGGATTTCGAGGCAACCTCCAAAAAGTGGTTGTTTACGATGTTCCCTGGGTGCTTGAAGCGGACTGCAACGGAACCAGATCTACAGAGCTGAAAGTGAAGATTCAAACAGCAGTCTAGAGAAGACCAACGAAGGTTTGGGGGCAGTATCCTCATACATCCATGTCTGGCTCACGCTGCGTAGTAGGCATGACATGCCCTAGGTTGATGGAAAATGCTGTTTGCCAGCGAAAAGCCTAAGTTGCAGCACGTCATCTTGCGCGGGAAAAGTACATACAGTACACCACACACACATACAGAGTTTATTACGCCCTGGCTAAGCCATACAAGGGTCTTAGGAAAGGACACCAGTCTAGAGTCATTTCCCGTGCCGAAGGATGCCAGCTGACCCGATGACGCCCGGACCAACCCTCACTGACTTCTTGTCTTAGTCAGCTTCAGTGAAGGCATTGCGAAGATGTGGAACATGGGAGAACGCATGCACATTTCCCTGAGAAGGGTGCTGTTTCTTTTTCTGTCTAGTCGTCATCTGTGAGGGTCACGACTCTAGAAAGCAGATTCAAAGCAGTAGATGGATTTGATGACCCATAGGCTCAGGTCTAGGTACAAGACGTAACGCGAAGAAGAGGAAAGAGAGATCGCGCTGTGCGAGCGGCGCGTCGCCGCAAGAAAAGGGGTTATGGCGAAGCCATGACTCGCGATACCCTTGACATCATCACCGGTTCGTGGAAATCATCAAATGCAGCTACTGTGTCCTTTTACACAGACGAACTCGACAATCCAAGTGTTGAACGTATACTGGGCTTAATATGTAATGCGAACCTGACAAAATCCGCTGCCGTGAAATAGGCCGAATAGAATTTCCGTGGTATCTTCTACTGCGAGGACTAAGGTATTGGTGGTTGGAAGGAATATTGCGCTTGTGCATTTGCTATGGTACTAGGCCAAAGTTTTTTTACTTCTGTCAGGTATCTTGTGGCTTGCAAGCAGGCAGATCTAAGCACTGGTACTTCGCACGCTTTGGTGAGTGTCCAGCCAGTTGGGTCGTGATTCCTCGCTGGCTGTGTAGTCAAAACCAAGAACTACCTGTTGTGGGTGAAAGACTTACCCATCACACCATAGTAGTACGGTGTGCCAAGGGACGGCAGAAAGGGAAGTGGAAATGGCAGAAAAGAACGGGTGGAGACAATGAGGAAAAGTGTAGACGGCAAGAAAAAAAGGGAAAGAAGGTTTAGATAGATTTCGTGGTGGGGTGGCAGAAAAGAAAACCGGCAGAAAAGCCCGGCAGAAAAAGAGTGGTGAAGTGGGAATTGATGTGTGAGGCGGCAGAAAACCCAAAGAATGGGAACGGCAGAAAACAGAGTGGGGACAGCAGAAACAAAATAGTGGAAGCGGCAGATAACTTGTTTCGGAAAGTCGGAGGCTCGACAGAAAACAGAGTGAAGTGGGACGGCAGAAACTAGAGCGTGGGGCGGCAGAAAGCTCGTCTTGGAAAGGCAGAGAGGAGACTCGGCAGAACCCAAAGAATGGGAACGGCAGAAACAAGAGTGGAAACGGCAGAAAGCACTGTTGCAGAATAAAAAAGATGGGTCGGCAGAAAATAGTGGAGTTAGTATGACATTCACGATGGCAGAAATATTGTTAATTCATTATTAATATGGACCCGGCAGAAATAGTGCGGCACTTGAGGCGCAGGAGCTATCCTTTGCAAATGACAGCCTGGCGAATTGTCGTTCCCGAAAGATTATTACCCAACGGAGGGTTAAGCGTCATTATGTCGATGGCTCAGTATTCCCGAATGTGCGGGCTGACAAGCCGAGTATAACCTTGCAAGGCCCCTCAAAGTTGAGGCTAGTATCTTCAGTAGGAGCACAGGTGGAAGAGATTGAAAGAGGACGACGCTTGCCAAATGAGAGACCTAAGCCGCGTTCATTGCCTTATGAGGCATGCTACTATTACTATTGCCTGACTTGTCTTGCTGGGATTTACGGATTCAGAACGGTTTGTGAGTTTTTTCTAGTCTACAATGCACGATCCATTAACACCACCCTCAGGCAGACACTTCTCTAACCATTGTTCTCCGCCGGCCTTTTTTAGTCCTCCTCTGCATGACCTGATCTGAAGTCCTCAGTGAGACGCCGTGTTTAATTAGCACATGATTTCTGAACGCGTCCAGCGTCTCCATTCTCTGCAATCGCGGATCATCTCGGCACTGAGGGTGATTACACCGTATAACATCGCCACGCCGGACAGCGCACTCTCGCTCTACGAGATGTTGGTCATCGAAATGGTCATTCCTAACTGTCGGTCGGCAGTACTTGAATGTTCGTTCCTCCACGGTGAGCCTCTCGTCGCCGACACAATCAGGACACTGATTGCGATCAAGGATGAGGGGGAAGGGCTTAGGTTGAGGTTGTTGTTCGGTGTGAGGCTGAGGCCGACATTCGGCGCGAATACGATCACGTCTGACCGTCTCTCTTTTGCCGAAAAGTGTTACCATCAGGTCAATTGCCTCGACCCGAAACTTCATCACTTTATCATGAGTGCCATCGGCGGGTTGATGGCACAAGATCTTGGCCAGTCTAGCCCGCTCAGGGATTGTCAGACTGATGGCCGGTTCGACGTACTCCTCGTCTTCGATGCCACATGCCTGCCTCTCGATGTCCCAAGTTGAGCGATTGTAGAAATAATAACTGCGGTATGCTTTGACAACTTTCTTGTCGCGCTGGTCTCGCTTGGTATTGATTTTCTCGGTCAATTGTCGGATTTTGGCCTCGTTCTCCATTCCTTGAACGCGATATTGACCTCCCTTCAACTCTTGTCGCTGTCGCTCCAAGTCCATGATTTCCGGATCGGCCGGCAAGTTCTTCCAAACTTCTTCGGGTACCATATCTCTCGTTGCGCGAGGATCGCGTGTGAGACTGACATGTGAGAACAATTTGTAGAGCTGCCCCTCGGTGTTTTCTTCGAGGAAAGTGTTCTGCAGATCGAAATTGACCTTTTCGTTAAGGTAAGCGCCGTGAAAGGTGGCGAACTTAGGATCGTGACGCATCATCTGGTCGCGGACGGAATCAGGGGCATTACCTATAGTCCAAGCTGTCAGCATCCGTCCGTGGTGATGGCCACTCATCTCGTCTCACTCACCGTTGGCCGCGTTCGCTGCTCCTCTCCGAGCAAACCTGGGCGTCCACGCTTCCTCAAAACCGGCATCGAGGCTTTGTCTGCGCATGTCATCTCTTAGCTTAGCATAGGTCATGGCCTCATCCGTAGATAGATTGCTGCCGTGAAATGTTCGGAAAAGCGGGATTTTCAGCATCGAGTCCTTCCATCTCAGAGCTATAGACTCCACCTGATCCGGGACCTTCACCCCTAGAACTGCCGCCGCATCTGTCAGGCTCGCCGCCTCGAAAGCCCGATCGCGAAGTGCTAGGGCGATGATAGTGCTTACGGCACAAAATATAATCTTTTTTGCTGGCGTGAAGTAGAATACAGTTCTTGACATGATTAGCCTACGCACATTTGTTTAAGAGCAAACTGAATCAAAAGGAGAGGGAATTAGGGTGATGGGACGCGGCGCCGGTGGAAGATGCGGCACATCGCGATTACTCACGGCTTGGGCTTCCTATCGGCTCCCTTATGATGGATAAATTTAACCGCCATGGCCGGTATAGCCTGTCCGGTTACCGGATGGCGAACAATCATCATCTGTATGTCCTCGTAGCACAAGGCTTTGGGACGCCCTCGCCCAACAGTTTCCTGTAGCAACAGTTCGTCAAGCAAGAGAGACCTGTCGTCCTTCGCGGCCTTATCGCGGTCGGCAAAATCCTCATCTTCTTGCGATGTCTTTCTTTCGGAATACACCAGCTCTGCAGGTCGTGCGCCAGTGTAACAAAGGAACTGATAGCAACCAGCCAGCTGGATGCGCTGCCCTTCCGACCGAAAAACACCAAAATCATACGCAATGTTGAATACCAAAAGGGCGTATAGACTGTCCACGGCAACGACTGGCTTTCCGTTGATGTTGGGTGCTCGTAAGTCGAAGCGGGGAACTAGAACTCGGTGATGAAACTAGCACAGCTCACGTTAGCAGAGTGATGCAGAAATTCGACTCCAGCGGACGGGGCATTTACAATATAAAGCTCTTTGATGTCTTTCCGGTCAACGTAACGACCGACCACGCAGGTGTACAGTTGTTGAAAATGACGGATGTATACCTGCGTGGTGCCCCAGGACTTGATTCTGCCTTTCGACCACTCGCAAAGTCGCAAGAAAAAGTCCATCATCGTCTCTCTAGTCACATTTTTCAACGCCGCTTGCCAGTCACCCCACAGCAGCTCGTCACACTCGCCTCTTTTCTGCTTCTCGCATTCTAACTTGTGTTGCTCTTCGCAGTAGCTGTTTGACACATCAGCAACAGGATGATTGAGCATGGGCCACAAAAGTCGAACCGTTTCCACTTCCTGCGAATGACGGATATGTTGGTCTTGGTCTCGTCTGCAAAATTCGGACTGATGTAGTGGACGGTCTTAAACTTTTTGCGGAGAGCATCGTGCTCCTCGGCAGTGAACGACGCCGCACGCTTTTTCCGTCGTTCCTCCGTCTCCTGGTTAGTGAACCGCTTGACAAAGTCTGTGCTAGCGTTGTCTTGTACAGGGTGGCAATCTAGAAGCCTGGGTCTCGACATCGTTCGGAGGTTCGTCAAAAAAACTATTGGAGGAGTATGGAATGCGGTTCGCTGCAGCACGATGGAAAGAGCCGGACGCGAAGCCGCGCTTTATAGCGGGCATTCGTCTTTCTGGCGAAAAAAGTCTTGATCATCCTCCGGAGCAAGAACCGGCTCTGCGCACGGCGGAGCCCAGGTAGTTGGTAAGAGGAAACAACACGAAGCAGGATCACCGACCTAGAGCAGTTAACAGACCGATGGGCAAGGGGGAGGCGCTAGGAGCCAAATGACGGCGGCGCGGGCCCACCTTCATAAACAGGTTGCGCGGCGCTCTCCAAGTGCAGCAAAGTACTTCGTACTCGGCTTTGTCATCCAAAGCTTGTCTCCCCTCACTGCTAATGCCACCAAAAACAGCGGCACTTCCCACCGCATTCGGCGGCAGCAGCAGCGACTTCTCGCTTTTTAGAGTAATATAACTACAGGAGCCTTAGGAAACAACACTTAGTAGTAAGATTCTAAGATAGGTTAATCCTTCTATAATACTAGGGCTACTATAAATAGTACCCTTAGTACTATATTCTAGATATTATTTAGCTAGGGTTACTTTATAGCACGACAGGCTATTAATAATATGTATAGTTATATAGGAGAAGACAGAGCTATTATTAAGATAGATAGGGTACTAACACTAAATAGAAGAGACAGAAATAGGGGTAATATATATACTCCTTTACTATTATATACAGGTTACCTAATTACTACTATGCCTACTAGAGTAGATAGCTACGTAACTCTATGTAGACTTTGTATATATAGAAAGCAATAGGGCGAGGCTAAGCTAGTTTAAGTAGCGTTAGTAATAGAGGATCTATTCTAGTAGAACGAGAAGCCGTAATATTTTAACTACGATATAGCTAAGGGCCCTTAGGACGCTCCTTATCCTGGCTATACTTGTTCGGAAAGCAACCTAAATGCAGGGCAGTGCGAACTCTAACCCTAACTCTGTTCTTTTAGGGAAGGATAATAGTTATAAGGCCAGCCGTATCTAAGAAAATTTAATATTAATACTAAAGTATAGCCCTAACCTAACAACAGGTCTAGCCCTGTTAGGGGTCCCTATAATATATAAAACATATTAAAAACAAGACATGTTTATTAAGGTGTATAATATCATAGGTAACTATATGCCTTGTAGGAGCCCCCTACTATCTATCGAGCATCAGTTAGACAGGCAGGGGTCACTGTGTGTATATTGATGAGTATGATGAATGAATGGGTATGGGAAAACCCCCATATCTATATAATGAGTGTATGATCCCCCTATACAAGGATAATCCTGATATCCTTATTCATACCTCTGCTTAGACATAAGTCAGGTTGCCCAAGGCGAGTCATTAGGCCTAACGAATGTGCTGGGGTAGTCTGACAAGATAAAATTTCAGAAAAAATGTGTTCATCTTCTAGATATATATCAATCTGTTGATGCCCGATGTCAAGGAATTCATAAAAACCAACCATAGCTCATCGATATCAGTCACGTTTTCGTAGCGAAATCTATCCGTCTATGACTAGCCATATATACCTCACTAACTAGCTATATCACCACTCACTCCTCTAGATCAACAGCCTCCTCAGAGACGGCAGTTTCAGAGTTGCCCGAGTTTGACTTGAAAGTAATGGTATTGTCGTTGTTGATGACAATCTCAGTGAGAGCGTCTTCGTCCTCAGATCTCAAGATGTGCTGCTTGAAGCCGTCTGTGCTCTCCGAGTTAAACAGGGCATCTGATGTGGCGGCGGCAACCTCCTTGGCGACGATCCGGGCGGCAATAAGCCCAGGGCCGGTGAGCGAGGACAGCCCGGCGAGGGTAGTAGCGGCCTTCTTCAGCAGCGACGGCGCGACGCTCTCCATAGCGTCGATGATGTCGCGAAAGTTCTCCGGGTCGGAGTAGTACCGGGTGCGCATGTCTGGGCTGTACCAGGTGACGGTCCACCAGTCGCGGCCGGTGGTGAAGGCGCCCGTGTTGTACTCGACCTCGAGCTGCTCCTCGCCAAGCTCGCCGTTGTCGAGGATGCCCCACTGCTGCTGGTGCTTGTAGTCGTCGCTATACTTGTGCACGAGGGACACAGCGACGATGGGGCTGCCGGTGTTGTTGCGGACTGATGCGAAGGCGGTACGCTTGGTCATGGTTGCTGTGATGGAGAATGAAGTTGAAAGTTGGTGTTGGTGTTTGGAATTTGCAGAATAGTGTCTGAAGGTGTATCAATGAGATAGACTTGTAATGAAGCTGATTTGTGGTGATGAGAGTAAAGAGAAGTGTTGAAGTGAAGAAATACCACTTCTCTTTATATCATTTTCTGGCCATTGCATATTGAACAGTGCTACAAACCCTCACCAACAACCATCATCATGTTTTGAGAAGCTTGCATATGTGGCGTCACATCAAAAGCTAGGTCGGCGATGATGCGAATATAGCTTTGCTACGTGATTTGCTACGTGATGCCCGATGAAAGGCCCACTGCATAGAAACGGCGATAAAATCGTAACAACAATAGGCAATTTGTCCAAGTTGGGAGGTGTTGCCCATGGACGCACATTTACTCGAGGCATTCGAGAAGCCGTCTAGGCTGTGAAAGATAAGCGGGCTTCTGCACCTCTCAGGCGGGGCACCTTGGCATCGGCCATCCCGTTATGCTTATGGCAGCTCGGTGGACTCTCCAGTGAACTGTGTAGGGTTGTGTCTGGCCCTGGGCCCTATTCGGCGGCGATTGTGTCACAATCAGGCGCGGGTTCGCGTGGGGGGACGGACCACCGACCCCGGGAGGTGCAGATTAGTTATACCAAGGCCCGGACAGTGATTGACCGGTGGTAACCCTAAACAAGGGTAAGGGTAAGCAACCCCCTAGGGGACGTAGAAGCGCAGGCAACACAGCGTTTATACTTACAGAGTAGCTGCAGGCCCTAGGTATATACGTTCTAATGTGATAGGCAGTCACGCGACATCTCTTCTCTTTGCGCCCGGCCAGCCCGCTGCACGCTTATCTACAGTTCGCGGGGTTTAGTCAATGAGGATGAGGAGGACGGTTGCAGACTTGGCAGCGCTCACACGTAACCTGTCAGCCGTGGCTGAGCCTGCAGGATGTGGCTTGAGAATGATGACGGCTGACTTTATGTTCTGCATACCCCAATCCTCTGGTGATCGCAGCATGCGCCGGGCGTCACGTCGACTGAACTCTTCTCTGAATAGCTCCTCTCTACATGAGAACATGAGAATGCGCACAGGCTTGTACTTCTCAGAGCGAGCTGTTTACAGGGACTTAATAGTATGCGATACTGACTTTGCCTTGCCTGACGCTGATTTGTCGGCTGGGAGAAAGGGGTAGCCATGTTGCCAGCACACTTTGGTTGCGCTGCATCTATAGCTGTGGTTACTAAGGGTAACGTCACATTATAATCGGCGAATTCCGAGCTAAAGCTGCTGATATGAGGCCTGCAGACACAAAATCGTGAGCGCTTGACATGCTGCCAGCCCTAGGCCGAGACCCTGGCCTTTTCCCCAGTAGCCTAAATGATTCGGCTTCCATTCAATGAAACGTTTGCACGCAGCACAGGTGCATTAGGGTTGACATCGTGCGATATGTTCCGTCCGGGGTGGAACAAAAGCTTTGCTTGCTTATCTGTGAGAATGCGACGAATGGCTTTCGTCGCCAAGCTTGACCTGACAGCTTAGATGGTACGACCACATGAATTAGGTTACAGTGTGAGTGGGTTATATTCCAGGTGCATATCAAGCTGATCCAACGTGTTTGCAGGTGCATAAGCCCTAGAAACCGTCTGAATTGCCAAAGGTCTGTCATTTCTCTTTTGGAGTCCTAACCCTATGGCTTAGATGAGAGCGATAGCCTACTGCAAGCTTGACACGCCATAGCCCGGTCCACTTCGTCTTATGGCCAACAGGAGGGGTTAAGGCGAAGCAGTCACTTTAGATAATCTTGCAACTGCAGCTGGAACTCTTGCAGGAAACCGGATGATACTCTATCAAGATGACGACAGCAATATCTGATATCTCATCATCTTGCTGCTATGCATTACGGTCTATATCCCTTGTCATTAATTAACGCCTTCTGCAGAGGTCACTTCTTTATCGGTTGGAAGCAGGTTTGGTGCATTGGCGTGAGACGGGAATGCCGCTGTTATGCCTCGCTGCTGAGCCGTTGACGTATAAGCTGTCAAAAATGTTAAATGAGCTTGCTTCCTCTCCAGACAGACAGCTTCAGCTGATGTGCAGTATCATCTTCCCATCTACTCCTCGTTCTCTGTTTACCATAACTTGCGTAGCCCAAGCGTTTCATTATTAATCTGCAATTCCCTTCTTTGGTTATTTTGTCTTTGCTTCTGTCCAGTTGGGGCCAAGCAACAGTGCCGTGATGGCGTTCTCAGTGTTACTGCTGGGGGTAGCCAGCCTGGCACAGGCTCTTCGTTACGACTTGGCCTTTGAGGGGTGGAATCTGAACACTAACCAGCAAGCAAAAAATCCTCTGGATTACACAGGAACGCGTTCGGGGCACAACTACACGGCATCGCCTAATAACTGGCGGTTTCCGTTCTACACAGTGATGTTGGATAGATGGGTCAACGGGGACCCGTCTAATGACAATGCGAACGGTACTTTATTCGAGCAGGACATCTTGAGTACACAACTACGGCACGGAGGAGACGTTCAGGGTCTGATCGATAGCTTGGATTATATCCAGGGCTTTGGCATCCGGGTATACTCTCGACTGATAAGACTGAGATTTTGGCCGCGTGTGCTAATACTATTCAGGGGATATACATAGCCGGATCCCCATTCATTAATCAACCGTGGGGTTATGACATGTACTCAGTAAGAAACCTAAATTTGGACCCCCTCTGCCTAAACACAATTCTGCGACCCCTGGGAAGCTATTGTTCTGACCATGTTGCCAGCCACTCGACTTAACACTCCTTGATGCCCATCTTGGCAACATCACACTCTGGCAAAATGCCATCGATGAGATCCACTCCAGGGGAATGTACGTGATAGTGGACAACACAATGGCCACTATGGGGGACTTGATCGGCTTTGAAGATCATTTGAACGCAACGGCTCCATTCCAGGAAGGAGAATACAAAGCACTCTGGAAGACGGAGCGTCAATACCACGACTTCGAATTTGGTAACGACTACAACGATAGTTGCGAGTACCCTCGCTTCTGGGGAGCTGCGGGTGACCGCGTGCCGGCAGCTAACATCAGCGCCCTCAAAGGCTGTTTTGACAGCGACTTTGATCAGTACGGCGACATTGAAGCCTTTGGCTTCCACCCAGACTGGCAGAGGCAGTTGTCCAAGTTTGCTTCCGTCCAAGACCGCCTCCGGGAATGGGTGCCTTCGGTGCGTGAGCGCTTGGAGGTGTTCTCGTGTCTGCAAATTACCATGCTGGATATCGACGGGTTTCGCTTCGACAAAGCTGCTCAAGTCACAGTTGATGCCCAGGGTAACTTTTCAGCAGCGATACGGAAATGCGCTGCCGGCGTCGGGAAGAATAACTTCTTCTTACCCGGTGAGATCACGGCTGGGAATAACCTTGGGTCCATCTACCTTGGGAGGGGACTGGAGGCAAATTCAAAATTCGACCAGCTTGACAAGGCCCTTAATGCGACAGGTAATGATACAAGATATATCCGGGATCCGGGACAGAACGCACTCGATTCTGGCGCATTTCACTACTCGGTATTCCGTTTTCTTGTCCGATTTCTGGGCATAAGCGGTCCAAGTCTCGAGAGCGGTTACGATCTTCCGACGGACTGGGTCAGCATGGTCAGCCAGATGTTCCTTACCAACGATCTGGTCAACCCAAACACGGAAAAGGTCGACCCACGGCACATGTATGGCGTCACGAACCAGGACAACTTCAGGTGGCCTGCTTTGAGCCAGGGCATTGAGAGAGAACTTCTTGGTTTCTTCATCACGACACTATTAATGCCGGGGATCCCACTACTTTACTATGGCCAAGAACAAGGTCTCTACGTGTTGACTTCGACCGCGGAAAACTACGTCTACGGCCGTCAGCCCATGACACCCGCGCCGTCATCCATGCTCCACGGATGCTACACCATGGGCGACTCCACCTACGTCGACTTCCCTCTCCAATCCGCCAGGAACGGCTGCACAGACGAAGGTGTGTCCCGCGACCACCGCGATCCTAGCCATCCCATGCGCAATATACTCAAAGCCATGTTTACGATGCGAGAGAACTACCCCACGCTGTCTGAGGGCTGGCTCATCCAACCACTAGCGAACCAGACCGAGTACCGATTGCTGAACGGCAGCCTCGTGCCCACCGAGTTTGGCATCTGGAGCGTCGCGCGCGCACTCTACCCGGGCTTCGTGCAGGACCAGTTCGCCAAGGACCCGGTGTGGTTTGTCTACCACAACGAGAATGAGACGACCAAATACAGCTTCGACTGCAGCAAAAACGATACGGGGTTTTTTGCACCCTTTGATGCCGGCTTGACGGTGAAGAATTTATTCTACCCGTATGACGAGTTCACCCTGGCCTCATCGCCGCAGTTCTTCGGGTTTGATGGATCCGACAAGGCGTCAGGGTGCATTTCTGATATCAGCATGGACCCTTTCGAGTACCGCGCCTATGTGCCAAAGGCTCAGTGGAAGGAAGCGCCGCCAATGATCACAAAGTTCACCCCGGGACACGATGTCTCCATTGACTCGGCGGATGCCAAAAGCGCCACCAACATTAGCTTCTCCTTCTCCCAAGAGATGGATTGTGAGGCCGTGACAAATGCCATATCGGTAACGTCGACGGTCGAAGGGCATGGTGGCAATGCCACGGTCGACGAGATGAGTGTCCAGTGTACGAAGCTGACAGACGATGAGAAACCGCCCTACATCGGCGCCATCGGCTCAAAGTGGCGCTGGACAGCCACGCTGCAGAACCTCGCGGACGGCGTCCACTCCATCAAAGTGATCAATGCTTCCGCCGTTGCAGGGACCTCGACCGGATCGACAGACGAGTTTCTCCTCCGCTTCGGCACCTCGGAAAACCCTGTGGTATTCCCAATATCCGCCAGCTACTCCAGCATGCTGCTCACAAAGTCCGGTGGCGACCTCTTTGTCAACCACCAAGCGGCGGGAGCATCGTCCTGGAGGTACTCGACGAACTGGGGATCGAGCTGGAACGACTGGACGCCGTACTCAGGCGGCAAGGACAAGATAGAAAAGCTCCTGTGGACGGGCACAGCATTGCAGGCTTGGTCTGGGGACCACGTCATGGTACAATACTGGTCTGCCCCTCTCGGCTCTAGTAGCCTCATGCAACAAGGCGACGTATTATCGTCCGACACAGACAAGTTGGAGAAGAGGAAGACAGACGGCAAGAATGGAACCGACCGGAAAGCACGCCGCTTCCCGCACGTCTTTGTCCAAGGTGAATTCAATCAATTCGGCTTCGACGCTGGGATCCACAACAAAATGTCGCAGCACGGCACCGACGAAGATGGTATCTGGGAGATGCACTTGATGGCAGAATGGCCCGAGTCTCTGCAGCTAAACATCTGGGGCATCAACCCGGACGGCCGTCCCGATGCAACCTATGTACTGGGAGACGTCGACGGCGATGGCGTGGCGGACAGGCTGCCGCCCAACGCGGTGCAGCCCAACTTCTTTAACGCGAGTGTGCCGCCACCGGGCTTGGCGCTGAGCTATAAGCTGCGGTTCAACGACGCCACGTTGGGGTTGGAGCTGGTCCCTCAGGGCGACTGGAGGCAGCAGCTGCTGTTGTTCATTCTGCTGGCCACGGTGCCGATTGTGACGGCGCTGGCGGCGGTGTGGATCTTTATGGGATCATTTTACAAAGTCAAGATCAACAAGGTCGGATTTAAGAAGCGTAGGAGCAGATCGCCTTTTTATAGGGCTGCGAACCACTTGTCAACGTTGTCGTTTGATAATTTTCGAAGAAATGATGCCAATACTGAGAAAGGCGATTATGGCGGAGCCGGCGCTCTGATGGAAAAGAGGCGGACTGTTTTAATTGCCACGATGGAGTATAATATCGATGATTGGAACATCAAGATCAAGATTGGCGGCTTGGGTGTGATGGCTCAGTTGATGGGCAAGGCGCTGGAGCATCAGGATTTGGTATGGGTGGTGCCGTGTGTTGGTGTAAGTGCCACAATGCTGCTTCACGCTTCCCCAGATCGATCGACATTACCGATACTCAGATTTTCTATTTACAAATAACCTGCTGACACTATACGATAGGGAATCGACTACCCAGTCGACGAAAACGCACCGGCCATGTATCCAGTGATTATGGTAAGTTCTGAGTTGAGCTCCGAAACCAAAGACTG